AACTTAGAAAAAATCTTGGATCCATATCCCCTCTGATTTTAATTTCACTTTGTGGTCAGATCTGTCAGAGATCACACCATAAATTCACTACCCTATCTACCCCTCTCCCTCGACTTCAAACATTCTGACCTACTTTTGTTCCGGTAGGTCCATCAAAAGTCTTTGCATTGAATTCCTGGTTGCTAAATCGAATCACAATGTTCAATTCTTCTTCTTTTTTTTTAATCTCTGGGCAGAATCCTTTTCAACTGACCAACAAACTCACATTTGCTTTTATATCCCTTGGTCCCAAAGCCTACAGGACTTGTTAGAGTGCCTTGCAATAAAAAACCCTAACTTGAAAGAATTAAATGGAATACAGGTGGGAGTCACGTGGTGGGGCAGTGGTAATGTAGAAAAGTCTTTGAGCAAGGAAATAGCATCATCTTTTCTTTAGGGAAGTAAGCTCTGCAGTGATGGATAACTTGGAGAAGTGGTTTGCAAAGTGCTGTGTAGATTAACAGCTTCACCTGGGAATCTAGTAGCTGAACGTTTTGGGGTTACCTCTCCCTTAACCCCCAAAGTATTTGATACAGAATTTCCAGAGGGGTGTCGAGGAGTGTTTCATGAACAGAACAAGTAGGAATTATCAAGGCTTGAAGGAGTCATAGAGGTGTTAGGGAGAAGATTTGTAGTATTCAAACAGTAACTGAGTGGAAGGCCTTAGGGGTTTTTTTATGGGAGGGGGTTAGCTATTGATTTATTTTTAGAATATAGGGTCTGTGGGATAACAGTTTTCTTAGACTGTTTTTCACTGTGACCTTCCTAGTAGGCAACATGTAGCTTTGAGAGGTAGTGCGCATGTGCAGAGAGCAGTAACTGTGTGACTTGCATGTAACTGTGTTCACTTGCATGAACACCTATTTCTATAAACTAGGCTTAAACTTGGCCCTGTGCTGGCTTTGTCTATACATCATATAACATCTAATAGGGCTCCTGGGGGGAGGACATTCATTGACCATTCATGGGACACGAGGCCACTGCTGCAGCCCAAGCCCTAGGGGCTGCCGTTGCTGACGATGCTCTGTTGCTTTTGCTGCTGGTATTGCTGCCTTTGTTGCTGCTGTCAGGGCCCAGGGGTCCATGGGGAGTGCAGGTGGCCAAGAGAGCCTGAGGCTGCCCAAAAGGGCCCAGGTCCTGCCACCACCAGGGTTGGGCCAGGCTGTTGTCCCTCGAGCCACTGGGTTGGGCTGCTCACACCAGGCCAGCTGGACAGATCACGCTGTTGCTACCTGTGTATCTTCTGCTGCCTCATGATAAAGACTAGCCCCACATAGGGGCTTCATGCTTTCTTGTCTGCCGCCATCAAGAATCAGGCAACGAGGCCCTACATAGAGGAACTGCAATCCTGTAACTGCCATTAATGTCTCTCCTTCCTTCAAGTGATGTTCACTATGCCGGGGATCATTTAGTATGAGGGAAAGCACAGGCCTAGTCCAGAGCTAAAGTTATCATCATCCCTGTTGTCATCTCACCACCTCCTCCAAAATCCTGGTAGATACAAACTGAATCAGAGAGCTGGGACTTAGTGGACCATAGCAGCCCTTCTCTGTCCTTGTCTTGGTGAGGAAAGAATTCACCGAGTGTCTCTAACTAAACTATCTTACTTTTCTCCTTCAAAACTACCAGTACTTATTCAGCAATCAAAAAAGATAAACTAATGCCAGTCATAGCAACATGGATGGAGCTAAAAGGAATTACACTCAGTGAACTAAGTCAGAAAGAAAAAGAAAAATATCGGATGGTTTCACTTACAGGAGGAATATAGGGGAACCAAATAAGATCTCAGGGGCAAAAAATAATAACAATACAAAACAAAAATAGACAATTATAAGCCAGAGACATTCTGCAGGGAGAGGGATCAGAGGGAGGGAGATGGTGCACAGGTGCATTGGTGGAGGAAATTCTATTGGGACTACACCTGAGGGGAGGGGGGGCGGAAAACAAACATTGTTTACAAAGGGACAATGGTGTCAAATATAAATAAGTAAATAAAAAAAAAACAGATATGCTGATGTGAGGGAGAGGGAGAGAGAATGTCTAGTGACCAGATGCCTGGGAGAAAATCTCCTCATTAAGCTATTTGCTCCCTGCCCAGCTACTCTCAACAGCCAGAGAGCCACTGAACCCTCTTAATTCTGTGAGGATCGAATGAGACAGCATATGTGAAAACACCTTACCAAATATACTAGGCTATGCAGATGCAAAGGATCGTTATAGTACTATGCAGGTTGCTTTTATAGCCACTTTTATTGGCCTGGTTGCTTTTTAAATGCCGTAGTCTATGTGAATTAACAAACACAAGCCCATATCTGTAAAAACAATTGCACATCTTTGTTTTCTTTAAGTCTACTTAAACCCAAATCTAGATCTCATTATAATTCTGGGTAGCAGGAATTAAATCTAAATATTTATTAGTGCTCTCCTGTCCCACATATTGTGCAAAGATTCAGTATCTTAAATAGTGCCAAACCATAGGTTGAAGAACCCTATGGTCTTTGATCATTGTATCTCACTGGAAAATATGGAAATGGCCACGATCCAGTCAGCTTAGTCCTCCATGGCTTCTAGTGCATGCTTGGTGTTCAGGAATTTTTGAAAGACCTGGGTTACAGTGTCCAATCTCTGGGCGCACAACACAGTTATTCCCTAGTCTTGCCAGATGCTATGTCTCATTAGACTTTCTGAATCCTGACATTTCCCAACATCGAAAAAACTTACTCCATCTCTAAGTTTGTTTTCTTTAAGTCTACTTAAAAAGAGAAAAAAGAATTACTGATGTAAATTTGCAAGTCATGTAGAATATACAAAAGAAAGGATCTAGGACATCTCCATCACATTTCAGGATCTTTTAAAATGATCTTTTAAAAACTGTTTTTGAACACTTTTAAATACCAATATATAAGTGATGTATGAGTAATTTCAATAATTAGAAGCAGAGAATGGAACATTCTCCAAAGTCACTCCACCTCTGAATACTTTTAACAGGCAAACTGACATTGGTATTATCAAAATGTTGAATTTCTCTTCAGGTTCTTCCCATCAGTTTCAGCTGACCCACCAGGCTCCTGTGGTTCTCAGCAATTCATTTTTGTAAGATCTCAGTGCAGACCACTGGGTATGGATCCAGGTAGATGCAGTGTGGTAGGACAGTTCTCACTTGCAAGCTAGAGAAAGCTACTCTTGACTTAGCTCGGAGACCAGACAGGAACAAAGGGAATTAATAGCTACTGGGTTCCTGGCCTAATTTTCACAGAGCAGTGGCTACTTAATACCATAGGCCTGGAGTTGACGTTACCCTCCACTCCCCGCTATGGAATACTATGGACACGCACTTCAGCTTTCAACAGGGATCCTCCCCACCCAGTTTTCTGGCTTCATCAATCAGGGTGAGTTGTCTCAGATGTGAGGAGGTTGGGATTGTAAGCTTGTGCTTCCAGAGGTAAAGATGTATGCCACTGGAACACTGTAATGGGACACAGATGCAGAACACCGAAGGGGGAAAAAAGAGAAAAAAGAATTCTTGATATAAATTTGCAAGTCATGTAGAATATACAAAAGGAAGGATCTAGGACATCTCCATCAAATTTCAAAATCTTTTAAAAACTTTTTCTGAACACTTTAAAATACCAACATGTAAGTAATGTATGAGTGTTGTTATGCCCTTAGCTTTCCCTCCTATTCTATCCAATGCATACTATGTGCCAGTCTCAAACACCTGCCAAGAATTCTGGGTCCTGTAATGTTAAAATGAGGGAGAGCAAATCATTATACAAATACTTAGAAAATTTCCAAGAAGGCTTGGAAACTAGGCAGACATGAAGGAGTTGAGGCAGCAGTAAGCTTATACTTGACCAATTGTTTGCTCTAGAGTGGTGGATTCAGGCTTTAGAAAAGGGACAAATTTCCCTTGATGTCACAAAATAGTTAAAGCTGAACAGGAGAATATTTGTGGTCTGATAATCTTTCCAACATTTTGTCAAAACCAGACTTTTGGTCTTTATTGCCTCTTCTGAAAAACAAAGTGAGTGGTGGTTTTGGATTGTTAGCCTTTGAAGACACTTTCAGGGACACTAAATATTCTCTTAGCAACCCACTGAAGGTTTCAATTCTAACATCCCTTATTTTGTAATTTGCTTCTGATCTTTTGTACAACTGTCTTTGTCTTGGAGTTTTAAATTATTACCACAAAGTTATAAAAAATCACTTTAAAAATCAGTTGTGAGAAAAATGGTAATTTGACAAAAATTTAGATTCATAATGCTAACAGGTGACCTTGAATCCTTTGTTAATTTGTTTTTAATATTTAAAAGCCAATAAAATTATTCACAACATCTCTATTCTACCAGCCCCCAAGCGAATACGTGTTGAACCAACAGTTTAAAGAACAAATTATATATTCATACAATACTAGTTAGCAAAATTAGGGAATGAACTACTGATTCTTGCACTAATTGGATTTACTCCAAATCACTCAGCTAGTGAAAGCCAGAGGTGAGTATATACTACTTGATTAAAACATAAAGTGGAAAGCAGGCCAATACAAATCATGTTCATACAGAGCAGAACAGTGGGGGAAAGAGACTGGGGAGTGAAGAAATCACAAAGGGGTGGGGGTTATTAGACATTTGTATACATTTGTTAACACTTAAACACCACACCTAAAATCTGTGTATTTATTGAATGTAAACTCCAATTTTAAAAGTTGTGTAGAAATCCAAGTTAGTTACAGGAGTTTTATTTCCTGCTTCTGGACTTTTGGGACTAAGAATATTCACGTAAGTATCAACGAGATTCTCACAGAAAATTAAGAGACAACAATTCTAAGTATAGACTCCCTAAGCCTGTAAAACAAAACTCTTTTTATAGGTCAATCATTAAAAAGAAAAAGCAAAAATGATTTCTTAAAAATAACCACTGAAGCAAACAGATAACAAAATACTTATTTTATTGTTGTAAAATTAAAAATAATCGACAAGCATATGTAGTTATACTTCCAAAGCAGAGCAATACAAATATATAAATTATTGCAGTTTTAAAAGAAAACAGATAAAGTCTTAAACCTTTTTAAAACCAACTTCTTTTTTCCTACAGCAGCTTTTCTTTTTCCAAACATCTTAGCACAATTTTGTAAAATAAATTTCTAACACCAAAGAGATTAAGTTCAATGAACACAGATATGCTCCTCAAATTTAAAGGTTAGCACACAAACTGCAAAGTCAGGAATGGCAGTTAACAGAAGTCACTACTAAGCAATTTCAAATCTGCCGACATGGAGGCAGTAGAATGCAATGTCTACATTTATTGAGGAATAAACACACATTTACTAAAATTCCCTTTGATTAATGTTGAGTTGAAGGAAATTCAATTAACACTTTTTTTTTTGAAAATTGGAGGCCAATACTCAATACCCAACCACAAATTTCCTCAAATAATTATTTCCACCAAATACAATTAAACTCTGAAACAAAATCAATTATCTCTGCTTTATAGACACATCTGAAGAAAAGCTTTTTAAAAATTTTATACGGAACTTTTCATAAGTATACTTAAAATACTCAAATATCTTACTTCATTATAAGCAATAGTAACAGCAGTAAACTCTCATAAGTCAGAAAAAATAACACTACAAAAGTTTACACTATATCATTTAAAAGTCTACATGTCATATAACCTAGTTTTATAGTCACTACCTGACCCTCTTACTAAGCTACACAAATTATTCTTTAAAAATTCCTACTTAAGTTCAGAGCATATACATTTTGTATTACATTTACAACATTAATAACACAAGCAGATTTCTTCTAAAACAAAATAAACCCAAACTGGTAAACATTAACACAGAAATAGATTCAAAACATTTTTTAAAATCTAGCAAAAACTGACAAGTTTCAACAGTGTAAACATCAAAGCAGAAATATATAAACAAAAAAGAACTTGAAACCATTTTTCATTGGTAGAGAATATGGTAAAGGGAACAATGCACAAGAAATCTCAAGATGCTAACAAAAGAAAAATATGTATGACTAAATTTCTGAAATCACTTTCCAACATAAATTTATTTTTTGGAAAAGCTATATAGCAATATTTATTAAGAAACTTTACACCCTTATGCCTAGCAATCCATTTCTATTTACAATAATGAACTTGTTATCTTAAAATAATCCTCATGTGTATATAAAAATGGGCACTTTGTGGTGAAATGAGTACATACTTTGAAAAACTAAGAACATTTCTCTGCTCCAACATTGTGCACAAGAAACTATATAATGGAACATTCTGCTACCTACATCAGCTATTTGTGTTTACTTAGTGCATGTCTTCTTTTTTAAAAAAGACTAATTTGGCTATTAAAAATTAGGATCAAAGGATGATAACCTCAAAGTAGAAATTGTTAGCTTAATTAAAAGGTTGAACAGATATTAAAGTTTTAAGGAGTGTGTAATCACATTGTGTTTATCAAAATCACTTTTGATTTCAAGCTAATTTTTTAAACCCAACTTGTCTATGAAATCTAATGCAAAAAGAAAATGTTTTATTTCACTCCCCTTAATTATAGTAATGAATGAATGGCAGTCTCTCTTTTGCCATTTTTGACACTGAAATTACACAGAACAGCAGAGTATGGTAACCAGTATCTGTGGTATTTTTTTTTCCTCTCAAGGAAGAGCTCAACTCTGTCTTTTACCCATATTTTAGAATATTCAACAATTGTATATTTAATTAAGAAAAAAAGGAATATAAATTCACCAAATATTTGGATAAATGCTGTACAAAATACAAGTTAATTTACTGGAATATTCATCTGAATAAAGTACTAGAGTACCAGCAGACATTTTTTAAGAGCACCTTTCCTTCAAAGAGCTTAAGTAGGAATATTTAAATGGAATAAATCAAAAGTACATGTACAAGCCTATCCAATTGTTCCAAGTCCATTAGGAGAACTACCTATTTGCCAGAAGCTCTTTAAGAAAAAAGCACTTTCTTTGGATAACACTGTTGTATCAGGAATGCACCATATGGCTCATATTCGGGAGATAAGTTATTACTGGTATCAAAAGCAACACATCCCAAACGTTCATGGCTGTCCCTAAGTGATCTAAATAGAAGCAGAAATGTGTACTAGCACACATTCTTAGTGAATTATGCCACAAATGTAAAGTTAAGTTTGAAAATGTAACCTTAACAACTAATCACTAAGATACTGGCATCACCAGGAAATGTCTTTTTCAACTTGTAAATTTATAGATTTTGATATTGCACTCATTCAATTTAAAGCTTATCAAAACTAAGGCAATGCATCCCTACTCCCTGGATTTTAAATTCGTTTTGGATAATGTAAAGGATCCAGAGAAATTGAAAGCAACTTTCAAAAGCTCCCTCCATAAAGCAGTTATGTCTTACTATAAAGAAAACAAAATCAACGCGATATCAGTTAAAACCTCTGCACCTGCCCCCCCCCCACCCCATCTAAGCAAATCCAACTCATTTTGGCATTACAAGAAAATTGTTTTCTACTAGAATGAGACATTTCTTTGCTTAGTCAAAAACTGTGTTCAAGTTTAAAATCTGACCCAGGCCAGGGCAGGCTGCCAAATTTAAGGCAGAAGTCATTCACTCATATCTTTATGCATGAAGCTGCTAAGTTAATGGGCTTTTCTGTAGATCCTTTCAAGCAAAGGCTCTATTTCATGAACACATTCTAAGCACCAGTTGAAAACAGAATTTAGAGCCCATTTTAATTCTGCATCGGTGATAGTTTTTATTATAATACATCATTAAAAGACTTATCTGGAGGTTTGACACACATTTATTAGTTAAGAACTCTTTGGAATCATCATAGGCAACTTTTAAGACTATCCTTTTAAATAAGGATAAGGGGTAATTTTTTAAGGGATAATTTTTAAAATTAGTTTTGTTTATTTTGTGTCAAGCAATCTTCTCTTTTCTCCTGGATTTTAAAGTTTATTAAAATACCCCACAATGCTTTCTTTGGGCACTAACTTCAATGATGTTGATAACAGAATTTGGACAGTTTAAGGATTCTTAAAACTTCATCTGAAGTGGTACACAGAATAACTTTCTTTTAAAGATAGGACAATTTTGCAGTAAATTCAATGCAATGGTAGATAACTACATTTGATGTAGAAGAAGATTGGCTTAATTCTGTCTAACAAACCATTCAGAATGAAAGTAACAATGAAGTAGAAGAGTCTTTTACAAAATTCCATGGGGACAAGTTGACACACAAAAACTAGATTAGCATTTTCTTCCTGAACTAATTCAGAATTGCTTTTGATAGAAAAAAATAATGTTTTTTATTTTCTTGGATATGGGCTTTAAAAAGTTAATTCCTCTTTCATAAGAATTCTTAAGAGGTTAAAACAATTCAACTAGATATATTTTTATTCCAAAATACATTTATCTTTGGAAAATAACAATAATTGTAAAAATGGTGTATTAGAAGAATAAATGCAGTGATCTAAAATATGGGTGAACATACTCACACATGAAATTTACATATACAGAACCATTCAAATACACATTTATAAAGAGAATGGAAAGATACCTAAAATAGCACTTTATATATAAAATTTTCATAGTAAAATATTGTTCATAATAAATAAGGTGATATTATTGAAATTCATTTCCCTCTTACAAGTTACCATTAGAGTTCAGACTAATTTAAGAAGTTTGTTAACTTGCTATTGTTTGAGAGGTGAATTACATTAAAATATGTATAATAAAATTACACTGTAACAGTATATTTAAGTAGTCACATGTGGTACAAGTTAGGGAGGGCCATTAGTAATTATGGGAAAAATTCCCCAAATAAACCAAAACAATTAACCCTAGAAGACTAGAGAGTAACAGTCTGTTTTATTTCACAAAGATGCTAAATATCACCTTCAGCTCTGTAAATTTTATGACTATAAAAAATGGACCACAACTTTCTTCAACTTCTTTGAAGTTTGCACGTGGCAGACCAATTCATGACATGGCATAGGAAGTAAGTGTGTTTAGTTCGGCTGTTTGTGGGTAGGTGTCCTTCCCATTTGCAGGCATGGTAATTTTGAATAGTTCTTGAGAAGCTGTTCGATGGCAACATGGCGGACATGGAGCTCTGAGGCCAAAGAATCTTTTTCTTGTACTTGGTGTGTTAACTCTTCAAAAACCTCTGTGAAGATTTAAAAAGCAATTTAATTTTTTATACACAGAAAGGTGATCCTGTAGACTAATTTTTCAAATACACTAACTGAAATGAATGTATTGGGTAAATGTTCTCAATGAAAGCGCTCTGACAGTAAGGAAGCAGCTGTGCTCTGCTCATCCTAAGAAGCTGTATATTTGGCAACTGGAATATTGTGCTGTTTTTCCTCCATCAAATGAAATTTAAGAGTCATAAGCTATGATTATAGAGATGCACAGCAGAAATGGTGGTTATTACTACTCTGAGACACTTTTCTCAATTCAAATATATAAATAAGTTCAATCAGTAAATAAAATGACGTTATGGAATAAGAACTGCCCTTCTGTGAGGTTGCAGAATCAGAGTTTCTGAACTTCTGAATCCTTTCTCCAACTCTCAGGCGTCTCAGGGAAATAAACTATGTTTTAGTTTCTTCTTATGTATACTTTAATAACAACACAGTGAGCAACTCACAGAGTTAAATGACGATTAAATGAAATTACACTTGTAAAGTGCTTACCACAGAATAAGTGCCTGATAAATGTAAGTTGCTATTACTATTATTATTTTCAATAATAATAATAACTCATTTTGGCATTTAGTATTCTGGGAGGCTCTGAGGTCATGAAAGTCTACTAGCTTTGGAGTTAAAAAGACAGGGGCTAGAATCCCCAATCTCTTAATGACTGGGTGGATGACCTTTGTAAGCAATATAACATCTCTAAAGGGCAATTTCCGCACCTCAATGGAAATTAATTGGAAATATAGGAGAAAACTGGGGAACCGAATTGTTAATTGTTAGTGTTAATAGCATTTTATTTGGTGATGCTAAGGAATTACTAGCTGGTATTTTTTTAGGTGTGATAATGATTGTTTTGAAAAAAACCTTTTTCATAGAAAATTCTGAAATGTTTATATTAAAACAACATGTTATTTTGAATTTGTTTCAAAATAACTCATGCTAACGGTGGGAATGAGGGTGTGAAGGGAGTGGCTAAAAGTGCAAGTGGAGATGAAGAAAAATCAGTTATGCTTTTGATAATAGTTGAAGATGGTAGAGTTAGGTCAAGAGTTTCACTGTTCCTAATGTAAAGAATTAACTACAGGGTTAATACCACCTGTCTTAAATGACTGTTAAAGAGCACACTAACACAATGTCTGGCACCACTGTAGGTAGTCAATAAAGTGTTAGTAAGAGATTTAGTTAGAGATTAAGTTGTGGTCTCTATTCTCACAAGAAAAACCTATTTCCTTTGTAGTTCATAAAGAAGTTGTTTTCTTATCCTTTTTGCTCTGGAAACTAGCAGGTTCTAAACCCATTTCTAAATTTATATGCAGATAAAGCTTATGCCCTGTTTTTTTGTTTCAAAATTTCTATATGTATCTAAAAAGCATTGAGACTTATTCTTTACCCTGTATTTGCTGTCGGAGCTTTGCATTCAGCTGCTTTACCTCACCAAGAGACATCGAGTTCACTGAAACATGAAAATATATTCATTAATACCACAACCTAGGAAAATAACTTGCATATATCACAACAACATACCTTATTAAAAATAGGATTATCTGCCAACATGACATTGAGCAGTACCCTAGGATTCATTCATCAGCTCTTGGAAGTGTGGAGCTTTCAAATCCTGACTACAACCCCTAGAAAAGAACATTTTATATCACTCCCAGAATACCTCCACCTGAATCAAAAGTTTCACCAAAAAATGCTGAGTATTGCATCCACTGGATTCTGATACTTCCTTCTGTTTCAGTTTTTGAAAAGTGCTAGTCACTATCCATCAAGCTGATATTGCTCATGCACGACACAGTTCATGATCTCAGTTTAAAGTGAAAGTATTATAGAAATAGTTTAGTTTGAAAAATCAATTTGTCTGTTTAGCTATATAACTAGATAATTCATGCGTAGAATTAAGAAGTTTTATAAAAGCATACCCAAGCTTCAAAATCAACTGATTTTAAGTCAATCAAAATTATTTCAGCTTCTGTGAGTTTTTATAAAAATAGATGCAGAATGAATGAATCACCTTTCCAACATTAAAGTAAGTGCACACATTACCTTTGGTCTTTAGTAAAATGTCGGATATTTGCTTCTGAAATGCCACCTCTAGTCAATCAGTCTTGTAGGGATTAGCAACATAACAATGTGTTTTAGATAATAGTTGAGAATGAACTGCTAAATAGTATGAAGCTGCGCTTTCCAATTAATCCAGTTTACTAATTTAAAATGGCCAAATAGATGATGGGACTGTAGAATTCCAAAGCTTAGGATACACTAAGGAGTATTCCAGAGAACTGACAGGGAGTTCTAAGGTATCTTATTCTTGCCAAGGTGAACCTGTTATTTAAGTACCACATTATCAAATCCTTAATCCTACATCAAAATTCTTCACATATCACACACATATAAAAATGCAAACCAAAAATCCAAACAACAAAACTGCACTGTTTACCTTTCCATTTTACTTACATTCCTCTCTGCTGTATTGTGGGTGCTGCATCTGGACATTAGCCTCTGGATTAGAGATTGTCTCTTCTTTTTTCTGTGCCTGGTTGTGACTATGTGGCCACAATACACTTTTATGGCATAAATTGGTACCTGAATCTTGTAACACAGAAAGTCCAAAGTCTGTGTTCTCTCTCTGTTCCAAAATTCTTTGTGTGCAGTTTGCAAGGCCACCTGGACTTCCAGCTATCCATTTCGCAGAATACTTTGGTACTTGGGAGTCAAACTGTGGGAGTAACTTTTTATCCGGTTTATGCTGGAAATTAAAGAGGGGATGCTGGGGATTTTTAGAACACTCATTTTCTGAATCCAGATCCTTATTTTGTGCATACTGTACAATCCAGTTTATCTTCTTAGTCAAAACGGTTTTAACTTCTTCATAGGTACTTTTTGAAAGCTTAGATCGTGGACAATCCTGATTTGCAATCAAATGGAATTTTTCAAAGCAGTCTCTATGGCCTCTTAATGATCTGGTGTGCAAGAGATTAGATTTTGGTACTCCTTTTAAGGAAAAAAATAAACAGAAGATGAGAAAATTTTAAGTTATTTAAAAGTTGCTTTAAGAATATACAATATACAGGGCCTCCCTGGTGGCGCGGTGGTTGAGCGCTGGGTTGCAAAGCTGCCAGCAGCTTTTGCAGCGCCGGTTTGATCCCTGGTTGCTCCCTGGCCACCGGAGGAGGGTCCCACATGGCGCGCAGACCTCTCCTGCTGCCCGCTGCTCCCCTCAGCAGTGTACTTCACTCCTTCTGCCTGCTCTGCTCCCCGCTCTGGCTCTGGTGAATTCTCTCACCCTCCCGCGCTTCTGACTGTACCCAGTGCTTGTATAAACAAATAAATCTTAAAAAAAAAAAAAAGAATATACAATATACAAATCTTAATAAAATATGCAGTCACTGGTAGTTTGTTAATTTGAGGAAAAGTCCTAAATAATATTGCTATTAGTAATATAAAATATGGACTAATAATGCAGCTTCTTCAATTTAACACTATTTTCAGTAATATGAATTTTTTACAAGTAGCAAAGTCTTTCCAAGGACTTAATAAATTTAATTTGAACTTCACACCACATATATATATATTTAAAAAAAGCCATTTTTTATTTACAGAATTTTGACCTTACATTTTAAATGGTTTTTTCACTAATCTGCTCTGAAACACTTGTAAAAATTTCTATTATAAAGCTCAGTAAGAGATGAGCTTGACAATTTTTTTCTCAACAAAAACATATTAAATATTATCTTTAAATTATTAGTTATATTTTTACTGGGGGACCAGAAAAATACACTTATGAAAGCCTCAAAAATTAACAAACTATTTAGATTTACTTTTAAGAAAAAAGCATCTAAAATGAAAACATTTAATACATTTCCACATTTCTATTTTATACTTAAAATGTATCTCAAAATATAAAAATTCATACATATCCTTATGTTCAAGTTACATTATTAAAGTTAACCAACAGTGTTTTTATGCTGATGGTGAATCAGACATGTGGAGTTGAAAATTAATACTTGCCAGAACTAACCAGCCTAAAAATGCTTAGTTCTGAAAACAAAGTAGAGAGCCATTCAGGTGCTAGGATTTAAAAAAAAAAAAAAAAATTCTTGCCAACCTATCAGAAAAAAATACATTTTGTATTCGTGCTTTGTTTTAAAAATTGAAGTCAAAACCATTTTAGTAACTGAACTCCAAACTCTAGCTAATAGTAAAATAATGGAGTATTTGCACATTAATGATATTAAATCAGGCATAAAAGTGCTTGTGAATATTAATTTGCTCTAAAAAGATATAACATCAGCCAACATGGGACCTGCTGAGTTTGCCAAAGCCAGTGCTACATAAATGGGTTCTCTATTAGCTCCTTCACAAGTGAGCTATGTGAGCACATCTTCTGAATACTAATATAATCATAGGTGAACAACTTCTCATGAGGTTAACTCAAATATCTCAGCCTTGTTTTTTCCACTAGCACAAAATTGAATTTAAACAGAACTTCATATACATTTTATTTATCACTTTGCCACTTGTATTGCAATTCTCTGTCTCTCTGTCTCTCTCTCTTTCTCTCTCTGTGTGTGTGTGTGTGTACATGTGTATTTACCAGTTATTGTCTTAGGTCAGATTTCTAGCAAGATTAAAACATTTTCAGGGAAAAATCTCAAAGCTCTATTTGATAATGTAACTTCAAAAATCAGGTAAATTAACATAAAAAGTTCACAAACCTTGTTGATTAGAATAAAATTGTTAAAAGTTTTGTTATTGTATATCCTTTAGATCATGAATAAGACAAAACAATAGTTAGTTCAAGCTGTAAACCAAATAAAAAAACCAGCAGCTTCATTCTGCTGTTGGATTCTAATACTGCCCCTGTGTAAACAGCAGGTAGGCAGAAAGAATTTGGAACCTGCTTACTGCTAACTTTGGAAAGTTTATTAAGGAGCTCCTATAGGTCTCCTTGCCAACAGCTGGCAAGCTAGTGCCCCCAAAACAGTGAATAGTCTCATTTGCAGCCCACTGCCACAGGGCTGATCCAATGATTTAGTTGAGTCTAAACATAGTAAATTATACGTTTCTACTTCAGTCTATAGGAAAGAATTCTTCAGCATATAAAAAAGGATTTTAAACTAGGCTACACAAAATAATTGATTTTTTGCTGTGAACTTTTGGGTATTTATTTATATAAAGAAATTAAATAAATATAATATATAAAGAAAGATATAAAAAATTATACAAAGAAAGATTTAAAAAATTATATACAAAGATTTTCCTGATGTATCCCCAAAGCTTCAACAGGTCAACATAATAGGATGTCTATTTTAAGAATAACAAGCACTCTTAAAAGATTTCTTTATCCAGTTTTGTTTCTTAGTAATTCATATAAGTTTTTTTTTCCCTCCAGAAGAAATTTTTCTCTTAACACTTGTGTAAATGCCTAAATCAATGCTAGCAATCCAGGCAACAATTATACACATATAAGTAATCTGTTGAGATACACAGCACAATATTCAATAGACTATGAAAATACATAAGTGTAAAATAAATTTCAAGTCTTTTAGACAATCAGGAGAAAAATACCCTATGAATTAAGACATGAAAAAAAAATGTCATGAGCAAGAAGAGTTCTGAATACCTTGTACATTTCCACTTAAATGTCCTATAGCCTCCTCAAACTCACTCTCCTTAAACAACTCATCCTCTCAGCAAACTACTCAAATCCCAACCGCTATCAGAATTTTCCCAGTCTGCTACCCCACGTCAAAGAAGGAACATGGATGTCTTTCCTGAGATAGCTTCCCCCTCTGTCTCCCATCCGAGAGGTTTTGTCATCCATCTTAAAAAGGTTTTTTTCGCCATAAAATTTAGCACATTCAAATCTTTCTGCTTCACTCTATTACCACTCCCGTTATATACTATCTGGGTCATCAATCATCTCCTAAATATTTAAATCCTCTAAAAAGTCTTCTCCAACCAATATAGCTGAGTTAGTTTATCAACCAGATTTTCAAATTGCCTCTTCCCTGGCGTTTATCTCCTACTAGAAGCCAAGTCCTCTGAGAAAAAGGACCATACCTGTTTTACATGCATTGTTAATGTAATAGTGCCCAGCAAGTAGTGCATACACAAAAAAGAGGAGTTAAATGAATAAAGGCAAATTAAAATTATATTAAAAATACCAAAACCAAAGTTATTACCAGTTATTAAAGATCTACTGCAGTGAAGTTTTGCCCATTCTAGCAAGGATACCAGTATGTGCTTTTTTTGGCCTGGCTGCTCAGAGGATAATTAAAGGCATCTTCCCGTGAGGTTACTCCTATGTGAGTTTAATGGGGCCACTAGTCTCAGGAACTGACAAGCAGCACTATCATAGAGAAGGCATTCTTTAGCATCATTCAATCTACCAAGTAAAATGATGAACTTCTACTCAGTTATCTATTTTAAAAGATATTTACATATACAAGGTTGTTTTATGTAAACTGCAGCTCATTCTTCCAGATATATACTTCTAGCTTTTTTAGCCCACTAAACATTTAAAACTGAAACTGAGTTTTAAAGCTCAATTTGAAAATACTTGTTTTATAAATATACTTTAAAACATCCCATTCAGGGGCAGAGGAAATAAAAAATTTCAGAAATAAACACAATGACTTCTTCATATACTTGAAAAAATTACTTTTTAATCTAGAAAACAACATGAGTAGCCCACTTAATTTGTTTCAGCATTAGATGTCATTTTATAAACTTCTGAAGTGATTATGTTTTTTCCACATCATCAGTTTGAATTAATGTAAGAAAAACAACCATTGCTATTATCAGAGATCCCAATGAGTTTCCCAACTGACTTTCCGATTTTAATTGCATTTAAAAGTGTAAACAGCTCTGAGCACTAGTTTGTTTCCTCAGCAGTTTTTGAAAGGGAATGAATCTGAATGCAATTAAATAAGTTGATATTTTTGAGGAGCTGAGTTGTAAGGAATTTCTAATCAGTTCAACAAAAATTGCACTACACAAAGATTGCACTACAACTTCTTTACCAATAAAAATTTTAAAAACCAATGACTTGGTATGTTGACTATTATGAAAATGTCTTTAAAACCTATCTCAAAGATAATCATGTAACTATTTTTAACAAAAGGTCATTATTATTAAAGAACCAGAACCTTAGTTGGCAATGATAATTGCTGATTTTTTAAAAAGTACTAGTTTCTTCTGGATACAGCCTGTTTCAAAATTTATATAGGCAGTCTATTTCTGTATAGTAATATTTTAAAATTCCTATTCAATAGCTTTTTTCTTTTTTATCTTTTCCTACTTTTATCTGATTTTATTATGCCATTCTCAGATACTTTGAAAATGCTCCCACTAACCCATCTGGCATGCTAACCCTACTTTTATTCTTTAAATCTCTCTTTAAGAATCAATTTACTTTTAAAAAGAATTTGTTAAACAATAGAGGAGTGAAAGTCACTCAAATGTAGATCTTCATTTCTTACATTTTAAGTATGGTAATATTCAATCTGCCTATTAGAGTAACCTATTTTTTTTCCCTAGTCATAACTCAATGGCACTAAAAATAGTTACAAAATCTGAAACACTTAACTTCCACCACATGTCCCATTATCCTTGGTGTTTACTCCCAGTCCCTGCAAGACCTTTTTTATGATTCGGTGGTAATGAGGTAAGCTAAGCAATCTTTCCCTGATGGTTTACCCGCTGATCCTATCAATATCACCATCTCTCAGCTGACTACTCTGATGCTACATGGCTTTATACTTCACACATTCTTGAGTATCATCTGACTGCCTTATGTATGTTTATTCTGTCAATATGACATCATCTTGTATTTGGTGACTATTTCATTTCCAAATTGCAGGAATGAATGGCTTTATATAATCTGTTGCTCTAAAAGTAGAGCAAATATATATATATATATACACATATATATATATAACACAATACAATCTGCATTTGAATGTAAAGCTATCATACACATGTTTTCT